GAATTGGAGATCTCTAACAAAACAGGAGTACACCACAGCAGAACCATATTAGAACTAAAAATATGTACTTGTAAGAGCTTGACTATTCATTATTTCAGTTTTTCCTCGATGTAGGGGGCATCTGCAGACAGAATAATGAAAGCAGGTCCTCCTGGGTCCCTAGCAAGCAAGACTTGTTGGCTTTCAGCAGAGAGCAATCAGGTTAAGCAGGTCACACAGCAGCTACCTACTGCTACTTAACACAGGTGACAGGTCTGAATTCCCAGGCAACCCTCTAAGGTAACAGCAGATAATGGCATACCCTTTTATAAAAACTGTTAGAAAATGTCCTTCCAGTCCTTTGCTGCTGACTCATTCTCCTTGAAAAGAAATGCATACATTTGTAGTGTTCTGTGATTATCTTGCATATTCCTTTTGGGAAAGTTTTACCTACACCACTGRAATCTCAAATACAACTTTTGACTTAAGTCAGGCTTCATTATTCAGGGAGCTATACTACCCACTGGCAGGAGAACCGACTCAATCACTTCCACCTCTGGTCACCATGAAAAGCTATCRTTTCCAATGAAATACAACCAAGAAATGTTAAACAGAGGCGCACAGATTGATCGCCTTTGGTACCAGCTATAACAAGGTCTAAAAGGTACCTTCTCCAGCTTGGTGTTGGACTGGCATCCAAGCTGGGAGCCAAGTTCAGACCTCATATCATCATCTCTCCTTGCGACCTTGAAATGACTGTAAAAGGTCCCATTTCAAGGAGACTGTAAGGAAGGCAGATTTTCAAAAAACCTTCAATATGATTGGGTACTGGTCCCAAATCTTCAGTTGATCTGTCTGCATAAAATATTTATATTTCATCTCCCTGCCAGCTCTGGTTTGTCATCATGCTGCACGCTGCAAACTTCAAAGACAGTGTTAGGCATTTTCAGCTTTGCCCAGCACAATGGAACGAGGATTTATTACAGCCTCAAGGCACTACCCTCCTACACAAATAGCCAAGACCCTAAGGAAATGCCAGGACACCCCCCATGTCAAGTGGCTGCTTAACTCCACTCCCTGACAACACAACCCCAGGAGAGCACTAAGAGGCAAAGGAGAAGAAACAGAAAAATATTTGTCTTTTTCAAAGCAGTAACCAATGTCCCACTGCTTTCATAATCTTCGCTATGTCAAAGGCTACTTATGTTTAACTAATTAAAAATAAAGCCAAGAGGAACAAACCAGCAGAGTAAAAGAAAATGGGAAAAAAAAGATTTGGGAAATACAAACAAAGTGAAACAAATGTGAAAGTAAAGGACTAACATGACTCAACAGCACAACTCCCAGAAGGTCTAAAGAATCATTTTGGGATATAAACGTATGAATGAAGTCACATTAAACAAACACTACCCTTGACATTTTTCACTCATTGTTTTATACCTTTTCCTGGAATTTTCCATAGCAGTTACCCTTCTGTCTGCAGCCAAAATCCACCAGTAATTTGAAACATAAACCTTTGACATCCCTCTGATATAATGGTAGTAAAATAGTCTTGCKAAGATTAAATAACTGTCTGATTTACTGCTTTTAGTGTCATTTCTAAGCAACTGTCACTTCTTTAAGTCCAGTTATGACRTTGAAATCAACAATTAAAAGAAAGCTTCATAAAATTTATTAAAGTCTGCAAGAAGCTTAAAAATGCCCTGTTTAGCTGGATCATGATCAGTTTTAAATTATCTATTAAGGCACCAGCAAGCAATACAATTAGTGTATGAGAGAGGGTAGAACAGATAGACGAAGGCAGTTCATTCCAACACAGAACAAGTTGCCTTCAAAGTGAAAAGTTGACAGTGCCCAAAATGGTATGTCAGGTAATAAACCCGTAAATATATTGTCCCATTTAATTCTATTCCTTCAAATAGAAAAACTATAGGTGATACCAGATAAGCCAGCACAAAGGGAATGGCTCATTTTCAAACAACTGAAAACCAAGATCACTCAATCACAATACAACATGTAACTATCAAAGCAACCAATTACATTTCTCCCATACCACCRACCTGAAATAAACCTACATTTTCCATTGATAGAGAAAAACACCTTGTTTCAAGTTTCTCAGTGTAGTTTTCCTTTTACAAGTTGGAGAAATTGCAGTTTCTGACTRCAAAATAGCTATAACACATTTTTCAGATTTTAAAGGAATCTCTACCAAGGCATCTTGCCAAGTACAGTTTTGAGCCCAAGGAAACAGTATTATCTTACCCAGTTGGATATCACYGAGTTGGATCAAGCACAATCAACCAATCACATTTTTCATTAGCAAGTTCCCCCATGCACACACTGAGGCAGGAAAGGCATGAACATAGTACCCAGTACACAGTGAAAGAGAATACAGCAAAGAGCAAGATTTAATGACTTTAAACATCTGCTAATGCTATTAAAAAGAAAAGCTTCCAATGGCAAATTTAGTTCAGCATTTTAATTTGTCAAGGTGAGCTTCAAAGGTCTGGATCCAACATAACATACAACCTTGAACTTTGGGCAGCTCATCTGACAATCTCTGAAGAACAGGTATTTTCATGAGTTTCAKACTATGTCACAAGTCAGGACAAGGATAAGGAAAGAAGAAAAATCTTCCCAACTTCCCCTACAATGTTTCAGAGCTATGGATTCCCAAATCTGGATACAATCTAGAAAAACTGAGTGCCAGAATGAAACATAGTAAAACAAAAAATAAATAGAGCATCTTCAAACTTCTAAACTTTGTTTGATGAAGCCTGGCCAGAAAACAAGAAYTGCATCAAACAAAAAGATGTGGTTTCAACATTTTTTGTTCTTCATCCAAACAAATTAGAAGTTTCAGAGGTAATTTTAAAGACAGCAGAATTCTGAAAGAAGCCAAATCTAAATCTGCATCTACAGCCCAGCAGAAGGATATTCATTTTATAGATATTCACCCTCCTTGTTCCAAATCTGAAAGAGAAGACTTGAATTTCTCATGTCCACAATGAAAACTGTACTGCTAGATATTCTGGAATCATTTATTAAAGAGCCCTCTTGTCTCCCTTTACATTCCTTGGYGATGCAATTGCTACTCATTCCCATTATACTTCTGCAACTATATTTTTTAATATAGGCTCTTACAGGAACACTAACAGTCAACTTTGCACTTGCAATATTTTATTGCTCTTTCTAGCCTCAGTTTCTGTTCCTAAACTTCCTGATTTCCTGCAGTTCTCACAAGAAAAATACTCTTTTCTCCCCAGTCTTCTAAACCCTTCCTTTTTCTGTGCTCTTCCATAAACTAGGGTTTGACAAGTCCATCACTCAAGATCAACTCTGCCCCCACTCAGGACACTCCCCATCTATAGCACCATCATCATTCTGGTCTACTTCTATTGTACACATTACATACTCAGGAGGAGTTTTGCATTTAAGTTCATTTTCTGCTGCTATTATTCCTAATTTTAATTTGGTTGACATTTTTGCTTGAAATTCTGGTACACAATAGCATTTGCTATTCTCTTTTCTTGTGTTTAGCTATGAGACATTCTAGTTGCACCTTTTCTTCAAGCACTATCTCCCTAAAGAAATGCATGAAGCATCTGACTAGTCAAGAAAATTCACTTCAAAGCCACAAGAATTACCAGATAAGTATTATTTAATCAGGTCCATGATATTTTTCCTTCTACATATGTCTRTAATTTGTTTGCAGAGGTTGCATAAGGTTTAACCCTAAGACTCCAATTGTACAAAGATAGTTCAGCTGATACCACACATCAAAAAGCTGAAGGCAGCACCTAAATATTCTACAAAATTTAATTGCTAACTGAAAAGGAGGTTATTTAAAAGAAAGTGTTTTGCTTTGCATTCCCTTAATTGCCTTTATGACAAGAGGGTATTTGATGGTCTATTCAGTTACATTCTTTAGATTTGACCAGCCAAAAAGTTAGAGAAGGTCAATGAAAGCTGAAAACATAATGGGTATACAAGGATAACAAAGGCATCTTCAGTCTCAGTATACTGAGACATACACATCAGCATATTGCTAAATACATCAAAACAAGAGGTGAGCAGTGAAGAATTCAGCTTGCAGAATGAAGAGCATAGAGCAAGAGCTATACATCTTAAAGCATCTGATGTGGGTAAGGCCAGCTTCAAACCACTCCACCAGATTTGGAATGGAAACTGATTCAAAACTACCAATACYGAGCATGAAACCAACTCTCAAGGCAGTAAAACCAACACTTTCTTCCACTGAAATTATACAAAACTAGTGTCACACAACCAAGAGCAATGCTAAAAGACAGCAAGCAGCAGTCAACTGCTAATAGCCTCTCCATAATATAAGTCTCTATCTCCACCTTCCCAGAAAGACAGTGCACTTGCTACTCCTATTTAAGACCAGATGCTTGTTTTGGAACCAAAAACAATTATCTGTTGTGTTTGGCATAGCTCTCATGTTCTTAATGACAATAAATATTTACACTTACTAAAAGCAAAACGTACATTGTTTTGTTACTTCTTGTTCTTTTTCACTTAACAGCAAAATCTAAAGGGGGTAATGTCCTTACAAGGGGCTTGTCTATAAACCATAATACCAGCAGATATTTATACTTAAAACTTTTCACATCCAGATTAAAAAGTTAATTCGTCAAGAAAATAAGCCTTCACACTGTAACAKAAGTGATTCCCTAGGTAATTTTCTCAAGGCAATAAAACACTTCAAACCCAAGTCAAGATGAGTTAACCACCAAAGATTTCATAAAGAGCTAAGACTTCAAGACAACTGCTAAAATGCTGGAAAASCTCAAAGACAACAGTTTCAAAAAAAGCACCATTTTATAACAAGAGACATAACTGACAACCTACTGTTMCTACACAAGTAAAACAAGCAGTTTTCCTACAGCAGGACAAACAGTGGCAGCAAAGAATGCTCCAAAAAACTTAAGTCTATGATGCTATTAAGACTGTTCTACAATCAAAGCCATCAATTTTTACTGGAATGTGTTTAAACTTACTCTGATGACGTGCTCATTTTGGGGAGTTGCTCTTCCATCAGRTGACAGGTTGCTCCTTCAAGTCCAACAGTTTACCTCCGGGTAATAGCACCACAGTTGAGCAGTAAAACTAGAAGAAATATGAAAAGGTCATTAGGGATCTCATTTTTAGTGGATAGTATACCATATAAAAATCTAATACAAGGTTAATTCATTTTCTCATTAACAAAAAGCAAACATATGGAGGAAACTATCAACTCACTCAAAGAACACAACAAATTTCCCATTCTAAGCTTTCTTTTTCCACTTTTATCAGCTACAGTTAGAAAATTTTCGGAGGTATCCAGCAAACAATCTACCTAGAAGACACTGGTGAAAGCAATTCACCACCTGAAAGCAATTCTCCACCAAGCATTGCACCTGCTGTCAAAGAAAGCTTCAGCTGAAGCAGGTAAAACAAACAGCTCCAGGAGGTCATGGGGGATGCTTAAGAACTAACCCTTTGTACCAGAGGAGAACCAGAGACAAGGGGTTTTTTTTGAGCATAAGTATCTTCAAAGAGAAAAAAAACACTACAAAGAGTTCCCAAAACTAAGCTTACATTTTATTTTGAGTATAATAGGGATGTAAAGTGAACATGACATTTGTCAGCCAACATCTGCACTTTGTGYAGAGTACTACATTGCCACAAAAATCAGATGCCGAAGATTTTGTTCTCCATCATCAGATGAAATAAATAATGCTCACCAGAAAGTACTGTTTATGTTTCAATGCACTGTTATAAWTCTGCATCTAGAGAAACACACCATTGTCAGCACGATACTATGTTCCACTTTAGAGAAATCAGGCTGGGGACAAGGCCACCAAGGGTATTTTGCTCCTGCATCAGTATTATTTGCTCAAGTTCACTGTTGTAGCAAACTTTGCCCATTAAGCAGAACAGGAGAGAACAAAATCTTCCTCTTTTCTCTCTTAAAAGAACTAAATGACAAATTCTAACGAGATTCCCCAGCTGAGAACAGGGACATCACAGGTTCTTGCTCTCTGGTGGGACTTCAAAGATGACCACATAGACTGAAATGCAGTATTTGAGACAGGGCCATCTGCAACCAGAAGCAGGTGAATTCTGAGTAAACTGACCACAGGTCCTTATCCCAATTTATCATGCCTATTGGAGGCATCACAAACTATATGATTTACTAATTTGGAAGAAAGAACAGGCTTTTCCTACTGTTGGAAGTAGGATAAGAAAAAAATGGAAGCTATTCAGTTTCTCTCAGAAATAAAAGACTCTTGGCGCATTGCAATGGAAAAAAAATGAAGGACTCATAAAACATAACACAAGTTTTCATACACTCAAGGAATTTTCCAGCTGAAATTGATGGATGATTGAGTTTATGCCCAGGCCCAGTTCATGACCAAATAAATTACAAGATACTTGCTCAGGGCTACACAAGTTTGGATTTCCATGGTGAGCCACCTCTCTGCCTTCACAAAGCCCACAGTACTGTAGGCCATGAGTTTGAACAGGTTGTTTTAATCTTGCATTTAATGTAAAATGTTTAATCTTACATTTAGCCTCAGAGCTCCACCCRCAGAGCTCAGCAGCAGCTCAAGCASRTGGCCATGGCCACAAGGACACAGGGTTTGGAGCTGAGCCTGCCAGGACCTTAGCAAGGCTGCTCTGGAGCAGCAACCTGMACCAGCCTTAACAGCAGCTTGGCCTCCACAACACCCTTTCAAGCAGTAACAGCCTGTGGTTGCAGTAGCTCGTGCAATAACCCAGGCTCACAGATGGTGAGAACCTGTTCCACAGACTGCAATTTTGCCTCATGCCTCTCATTGAAAAGAATTATAAGTCAAGTTAACCTTTGCACTTGCTACTTGCTTTGTGTCTAGTCTCAAAGTATATTTTATGCTCAAATATCATAGAGCAGCCTCAAAGAATAAACCTTACAAGGGAAAGTAATATTATCTTGGTTGCTACACAAATACCTTCTAATATAGTTACTCTTTAAACAAACTATCAGGAAAACAATTACAGCCACCAGAGCTCAGTTACATGCAAACCACTGGAGCTGGCTGAACAACATAGGCTCTCAGTACCCAAATTCCCATTTAACATCCACATAGTATACATATAATCCTATTCTAATCATGAGGGCATATACTTGCACAAGCAAGTTAAGCCCAAACTCAGAGCAAAGCCCTCTTTGAGCTCACACTTCCTGAAACTGTCCCCCAATCACRCAAACAACTTGCTGCTGTGCTATCAAAAGAAGAAACAATCTTGATTCTGCCTAGCTCAATATGAAATGTTCAACATGGAAAAGTAGGGATTCCATAAGATGAGTAGAGTAGGCAAAGTCTACAGGCAAACATGAGTCAGGGCAGCACTGCAAAACAATGAGTGAATTATGTTAGGAACCCCAGGAAAGTCAATATTCCCTTTATTGTTCATTTTCTTCATAAACTGATACAGACCATAAACTGTCCTCTACAGAGCTTGCTTCTATCAGAGAGAAAAGCCAGCTGCATTAAAGCTGAACAATGGGACACTTGTCTTCTGTAAATACTAGCAGAAACAAAAACACTAGCAAGGGTGAGGATTGCATTTAAGCTAAAGGACAGTCACAAGAGAAGGTGGCTATAAACATAACAAATCCAGGTTGGAAATTAAAAGGCTTGAGAAGGGCTTTTGAAATGGTCCCCAGATGTTAGCAGATGGAAAAATAGCTATTTACAAGGTGGAGCTAAAAATTAAAGGAATGCACCCTATTTTCCTGCATTCACAGAACCACATTTCCTTGGCTCCTGTTGTCAGCTGCAACTTCTCTACTTTCAGGCAGGTCAGTAGGCTGCCCTAAATTCAATGTTTGAATCAGTTGTCATTTCTTGCTCTGCTGCTGTGAGTACTGAGGCTGTTTACAGTACATTCCCTGGCCAAAAATCACAGCAATTGCAAGTCTAAATTCATCTCTTGCCACGAGGCAAGAGGTGAAACAGTCTTGTCAAAAGGAGAAATAGAGTATTTTGCCAATAATGAAAATAAAAAATAAAACATGCTACAGTGCCAACACRTACACTGCATATAAAGCCTCATTCTGTGAGCCCCATTCTACAAGGAACTCCTTCAAACTTTACTGACTCTTCTGGATTTTGTCCTGCTGGTTTCCCTACTAGAATTCTCTACTCTTCTTGTGGAAAGAAATTCCTAGTGGCAGGGAAGGAGGATACTGCTTCATCTATAAGCACAGATGTTTCTATATTTCTTCAGTAACCATATTAACACTAATGTTAGCATAATCTCATGATATTGGACAGGTGCCATTAACTGAATATTGGAGGGGCTAAGCATCAAGAACAGCCATTGCAGCCTGTACAGGGCACACCTAGGGAAAGAAATAATGTTTAGAGAAGAGGGTACTGAGAACATATTTTGAGGACAGGTTCTTTACTGCATGACATACTTCACCATTTTTAGTGTCATGACATAGTCCTCCTCCTTTCCCCTCACACCCACCTCATTTCTTCACCCTAAAGTATTGAAAAAACTATTAACTTTATAAAGAATTACTAGTAGCTGTCAGCTTCTCCGTACATGAGTTTGCCTACTAGAGCTAGAAGGATTACACAATAGCACTTTGAGACTGTCAAATCAGCTATAATAGTCTGTTATTTGCAGCAAGAAACAGTTGTCTTTGCTAAAGGGAAAATTTCTTTTATAAAAAGCCCCATTACTGCAGGGACTACCTTGCTTTCATTAATGGCAATAGCCTTAGGTAGTCACTGTCCCTTCTAAATCTCTGGCAACTCCAAGTTCTTAGCCAAAAAAACTTGGAGGAGTTTTAGGAGTTCAGGAATAAATAGGAACTAGCATGGACACTCAAAGCATAAAAAGCCACTTGATCAAATACATGGATAGTTTTAGAATTTCGCTTAAATCCTGATTTCCTAGCACAGTCAAGAACATTCTCCAAAGCTGGCTTAGAAATCCAAGTTCACAGCACAAATTTCAGCACACCTCAACCTCCCCACCGGCAAAAACACTGTTGCAGCTCCAAAACAAATTTAATGAGGAAAAAAATACATGCTATACAAAAATAAAGAGAAATGTAATCCTCCTTACCCCCAGAGTCAATATTAATTCAGAGAAGTGTAAGGATTCAGCATAACTGCAGTTTTCCCCCTCCCCTAGTAGTCTGTTCCCTGCCAACCTAATTCTGACTGCAGTTCACTATCAACAGACTCAGTATTTGGGCTAAAATAACTCAGTAATTGGRCTAAAATAATAATGGGTAAGCTGCTTGAGTAGAGCATAGGGCACAGCAGCTTCCCCATAGACAACACAGGTTTTTATTCAAAACAAGAATTAGAGTTGGGACTTCTAGTAACCTACAGCATTATGTAGAAGCAACAAGTAACTATTATAGAACTACTATAGAATCCCCTTACTAAGCAATAGTTTTATTTTTTAAGAGGAAATCCTCAAACCTCCCATAGATTGTCAATAAAAATAAGGCTGTAATAAGGGTGCCTAGTGTGTCTGGAGCAGTGTTGTCCATAAGCCCCTGTTTCTAAGTGATATCTCTTTCTTACCTCTCCAAACCCTCAATAAGTCAAGTTTACTGCTGTTCATTTAGCCATCTAGCAGGTCCTGGATTGGTTTTCTTCAGATACAGGGCATCGTGAAGGCTTCTCAGCTGTTCTAGCACTTTCCCTCTTTTGGTTTATAGCAACCAACAAACCAGACACCCAATAGCAGCTGTGCTTTTGTTGGTGATTATGGCACACCTTCTAGCACAGCTTTTGGGGAACTTAGACCTRTCCTTTCCTGGAGGCAACACTTAACAAGTGGCCAGCTCTGCAGGAGCTATCAACAGCAATGGAGCTAAGCACATGGGCAGGGAAAATGAACAAGGCAAAGTGTTTACCTTATGAACAAGCACCTTGCAGGAACATCTTTAGCCACAGGCACCACATGTATTACATAAAGGGCCTTTCAGATTTGTTAAACAAGAGCTGTAGCCTTGCAGAACTCCCAAGCAGACRGAGCTCTGAATCACAAACAGCTTACAAGCCTTAATAACAAGCTTGTACAGCAGAGTAACTAACAAAAACCCCAGGCAGCYCTGGTTGGGAACACACGAGGCCTCAGAGAGGGTAAGACCACRAGAACCCAAGCACCTCTTCACAAGCCTCACACCACAGTCAGCAGTTTCAAACAAACAAAGCAAGGAAAGATCAGCAAAATGAACCGAGACAGACACAGCCAGGTTCACTATCCTGCTGCCAAAACTCTGTTGGAGTAAAAACCTCTGGGAGATACAAAATCCCCTTTAATCAAACCAAAATAACCTACCTGCAGCAACACCAACCAGGAGCTCCAACAGCAGAGGTGCCCCCTGAAGAAGAGGCCAGCTCCCTCCACAGGTGCTATTAATACTCGTTAGCAAATGAGTGCAGACTTGAGTGGCAGTCAGCACTGGCCAATAGGAAGCCCAGGTAGCTAATTATCGTTAAAGGTGTGAGCACAGGTGGGCACATGGCTCAGTAATGGCCGAGGAGGCCTGTACACGTTCCTCAGGTCACTCCCTTGGTTCTTTGTCAATATTGGTGAAACAAATACCAGATTTGAAATCTCTTTTGTCAACTGAGAGATCAATAAAAAATATGGGGCTGCCATAGCTCAGAGCACACACCTTTTTTGTTGTATTAAGCCACTTTTTCAGTAGATATTTCCCAAGCATTGGGAATCCTGTGTTACAAATGATGCCCACGGGTTTTCTGTGTGTGTATTCATGACTTTTTTCTAGATCACCAACAGTAATCAGCAGTAACAGTAGCAGTGAGCTAAGTTGCTCTTATGGACCGAAGCATGAGAAGTGGGCTCCTGTGCCAAGGAAAAGCTGGAGGCTGGAGTGGAAACCTCAAAGCCTCTTAGGAAGAGTGTAAACACACACAATATGGGACAAATACTGGAGATGGAGGAGTAAACTAAGATAACAGCACACAATTTTTCTTCTTTTCTCCAGTAATGTACTGATTCAGCAAAATGAAGGGTGACAGAGCTTAGTACCAATTAGCAATTATCACGGGAACAGTGGGAACAGTGGAAAGGTACATGGATAGTGCAGTAGGCTTAAAAGTGGCATCCAGGCAAACAGGCAGCTCTTGACTATATCTATTCACGTCTGGTCAAACCGATATGCTGAGCGTGTGGCAAATTCTGTTTAAGTATCTTTTGTTGGGATGTTGCTTCATGGAAAACAAAGTTTCTCCTGAAAGCAGTAGTGYAAATGTGAAAGCTTATGGAGTGGCCAGTGAGCGAGTAAATAATTCATTTTGAAAGGAGGGAAAAATAAGCAACATTTACTTGCATCATTCTAGTTGTGAACAAGAAATKATATGAATTCCCAAGGTTCCCATTCCTACTGTATATCCTAAGAGGCATGAAGTCAGTATATTGAGGGTATGGCAACACACATTATAATTTTCTTTCAGAATTCGAAAGGCTCTTGGAAATGGCTGAAGAAAATGCTAAGAGTTATGAAAAGATTTTCAGTGACATTAATGGAAGTTTTGTCCATTTCATAGCATGTTTAACATGTATAAGAAAAAATAGCGAAAACAAAAGCATGTGGGTTGGGTTTTCCTCATTGCTGAGCCCAGCTGCTGAGAAAGGATGAGAGAGGACCCTTTGCAGGACCTGTTTGGAGTTGGAGATYTTTTCTTTGATGAAAGAAGAGATGAAAAATACCTGCTTTTCCCTGATAGTCCATCGGACCAAGATGGAGATGACTTCTGAATCACATTGTCAAAAAGACTGCTGTTCCAAATTATGAAGACTTTCCTCCAAATCCTTCATCCATTGGACTATTGATTTTAAGACCTTTGTTTTCGAAGTTGCCTTCTCTGCTTCTTAGAAAATTTGCTCTTTTTTTTTTCAGTTTAAAGGCATTACTGAATTTTCCTAAAAATACTGTCAAGCTAGTTGTAGCACCCAGAATTTGATTGTCAAAACACGGTTAGCAATGAGATTCTAATTAGATTGTGATACTTAAGCCTGGTGTGAAAAGGGTCAGTCTCTTAATCGTGTTAGGCTTTGACGAGATTACCGAGTGACTTTTTCCTCTTTACAGACCCTGCACTAAGAGCCACTTCTCGTTAAGTAGATTGCAACATTAAATGTAACTCGATAAAATGTTGGCACATTGTGCTGTGTTAAGTATAGAATCACACCCAAAWTTTATTCGTTTTGTAACCCCAACAACACTGGCTTGCAGTATGAAAAAGGGCATCCCACACGTACATCTCCTAGAATAAACTCTTGGCATCATCACAGATGTCCAATTAAACAAGTACTGTGAATTCTAACAGGATTTTATTCTCCTTCCAGACTTCAACTGCAGAGGCAAATTCACACACACACAAAAAAAATCCAACCTCCCCTACCTCTAAATTCTGACACCCAATGAGTTTTCTTTAACTTGCTGCTTTCTGTAGGCCATAAATAACAGATAAAGAGCATTTCTTTCCCACTTGTACTATAATTGCCACTCTAACCCCATGCAAAGTGAGGGTGGCAGGAAAATGAGCAACACTCCTGCTGTTAGGGAAGAGGCAAAGGGAAAGAGGAAGTTTGGAGATATAAATATGTAGCCTAGAGGATGTGTGGGCTAAAGCTTACAAACTGCTGTTCTCCTTTCACATTCCTCTCCTTTCCCTGGTCCCCCATACTGACTTCTCAGTCATATTTTTCAACCTTTTTTCATGTTTATTCATGGACGTCAAAAAATGCCATATTTTAAGAACAAAGGTCAGAGTATAAATTGATCTCTCTGATTTTTCATGTAAGTTTACATCTGTGGGGTCAAGGAGTCATCGAAGAAAAGAGATCTCTAAACATTACAGAAGAATAACCTACATTCTGCAAAGCTGCTCTTCTGTGCTGCCAAGYACCCACTGTGGGCTGGCTGGGAAGGCCAAAGGAATGGAAGGCATGAGATGGCAGAAGATGCAAATACCAGAATCAGATTTAGCTGTAGTGGAATGTTTCACTTCCAAGAAAATAGGGCATATTTTCAGCGTGTGCTCTTGGTGTGCATGACCTGGTATTGCAGGTGCTGAGCTCCGCCAATACTGTTTATCCAATTATGTGTGTTTTATGGTGGTTTCCATTTGTTGTTGAAATAACAGCTCCCAGAAAGCAGAAGGTTAGATGGCACGTTCTCTCCCCAAAAGAAGGAAGTGAAAGATGCCTGTTGAAATCTAAGAGGAATGGGAATTAAGCTGAGCCTACATAAGAGGCAGGACAGAGGCAGGACGAAACATAAAGTTTGCCCGTATTTTACTTTCAGTGTGTCCATTTCAGTAGGTGTCTCCAGTTAGTCCTTCTGAGGTGAGACGTATATCCATAAATGCAGGCAAGTTGTTGAAAAATGTAATGAATGGAGCACAGCTAAACACAGTAATGAAAAGCAGAGCTGAAGCCACTCTGACAAGACAAGAGTCGTGCTAGCTTCAAGTCCATAAACAATAAACAGGGCCGTGCTTCACCCCAGCACAGCTGGCCTCCGAGGAAGCTAATTGTGCTTGTCCTTGAAAGAGAAAAGAGCAGATAAGCCACAAAGAGTTGTGYTGTGGGAACAGCTTGTATGGACTCTGGTGAAGGACATGAAAGGAGCCAACTAAAAATACATTTAATACTGTGCATAGCTAGCTTATTTTGATGAGGACTATTTACATATTCCACTTAGATCTTTAATGTTTCTGTGTTTAATTTCTTTTTTTTTTTTTAAGCCTCAACAATTGTATCTTTTTTGACTGCTTTTTTTTATCAAATAGAAACCAATTYAAAGTATTTAATCATAGCTGTAAATTTAACAGAGGAGCCCAGATTCATTCTTATGCTTAGGAAATTGTTTCAGATGAAATGTGTAACAACAAAATCCTATGTATTTGGCTACATAAAGAGGACAACAGCTTTTGCAAAGTAATGAATTCATTTGGCTTCCTACATGTATTAAGTCTTGAATTTAGAATTTGTGCTTCTCAATTTTAAGCTGTAATTCTGAAGATCCTTACTCTTGTTTATTAGTCTGCACAATGGAAATATTCTTGCACTAAGTATGAAAAACAGCAATTRGTGAAAGGTGTTCACTCAACTTTTGTGTTCCAGTTTGCTATGGAAAAGAGCTTTTTTAAAGCATCCTATTTTGAAATGTAAGCACTTGGGTCAGGTTGGAAGAAGAAGTTGTCTCCACTGAGGTTCACTGCCCTGGGCCTCCTGCAGCAGTGCCAAGGACAGGCCAACCCCAACTTGCAGAAGTCTGGAGAAGGTTCTCCTCAAGCTCCTGCAGCATATTCCCTGCACCATGAATGCTATGGCTCAAATCGCTCCATACTTTGCTTTATTTGAACCTTGAAGATTGCCTTGTATCTGGAGGCAGGGACAATATTGTGTCTTCCTGGTATTTTTCTGGTGCGGGAAGGGAGTATGGAGAGTTTGGGGAACCTCTTAGTCTGGAGCTGACAGGCAAAATACAAGGTGAATTGTGTATTTTGGGCCAACATGTAAATGCTTAAAAGCATCATTTTTATGAGGCCTGGCCTTTCCGRACATGCATCTTCTATCTTGCATCTAACACAGAAGTTTAATCAGCATAATATGACCCTGCTGACAAAAGGCACGGTCCCTTCACCCTGCCAACAGTTTGCACTGCTGCCACCCTTCCATGGCTGCAGGCTGAGGCCAGTTATTAGTCTGATCTTACTAAAACTAACTCGGCTTCTGAAAATGCTCRGTCATCTGCTCTGGATCACTGCATGGCCACACGACTGCCTGTGCCAGCAAAATGTGGCRGTGGGAGGACACCTGAGACAAGAGGAGGCAGGAGCGAGCAGAGAGGACTTTCYTTCAGGAGCTGGGACAAGTTCTGTGATTATGTGATTGAAAAGTGCTGGTGAAATTCCCTGGATCTGTGAGAAGAGCCCAGGGCAAGACAAATGGCTGCCTATCTGGCACTAGAAACATAGGCCTCTTCTGGGTCAGGTGAAAGGAACTGGGTCTAAGCGCTGGACTAGCAATGCTGATACACAGGTACTATATTACTGATCTGCCAGTGAACACCTGGCCGTCACTGGTGGGACACTCAGGCCTTTTCCCTACATGGTGTCAAGTACTGGCCGCTGTCCTCGGTGGCAGACAAGATGGCAGAGAGGACTAAAGGGACAACCTCAGCCAAAGCCCTGGGCAATTGGGGCATCTCCACTTGCCACTCAGCTTAGCCAGGTGGCTGTTACCTCACAGGGGCCTCTTTGGTCACCCTTTTGCCTATCTCTCCCTCAGATGGGCCCACCTAAGTGTCCCGCCGCTCCAGCACCAGGACAGGCTGCCTCAGGGGCCG